TCTTTCCCTCTAGACAACAATAATGACGGAGCAGCATAGTCCATGCCTGAGTCTTTTATCAGCACAGAATGAATGTAGCATCAGTTAACACTGTACTGGAAAGGAGAACAGACAGCAGAATATACAGTGATGGCACACACCACAGAAATTCTGGTCACCCATAAAGGTGAGCACCTTTCTTCTCTCACTGCTCACGGATCATAATCTCATAAGCAGTAGCTCACTTATCTGAAGTCTATCTTCAGATCTAGATACTCCTTTAGATCTAGATACTTGTTAAGGAACAGTGTTTAGCACAGTAAACATGCAAGCTATCCTCCAAGTGGTTGATTTACAAATATCAGTGATTAAAACAACTCTAACAAATAAATGCAGGTCCTGACTTTATTGAAGTGAACTCAAACCTGTTCAGTGCATGCTAACTTAGCTATTTCACAACAAACATTACTACATTATCTCTAGGGTAGATTAATCTCCAAGTCAATAAAAGTTTTCCTTTCGATACCTCTGGAAATGCATCCTTCAAGATAATGCAATGGCTTTAGCTCTCTCCACAGAAAGAAAATAAGACACTCTGGATATCTAAAATTTCATTTTCTTTGGTTTGAATGTGGTGTTCCAATAGGAAAACAGATTATATCAATTATTTGAGTCACGTGAAAATCAGAATTGGTTTTAGAGAAAAACTTAGAAGGCAACTTTCTTCTGTGAGAAGAGGGGAATATTAGCACTTCTTTCTCCTTTTCAGACCACCCATATTTAGAAATTGATGCTTACTTGCTGTGCAGTCAATACTGAGGTCTAATTTAAGAGAAACTAGTCAATTATACCCACACAATACTATCATCAGAGATGTTTTCCATGTAGGAACCTTAGAAACTGCCCAGTTCACTAGTGCCCTTTGAAACATTACTCAACACATACTAAAACCAAACCAAACTCAAAAGGCAAGCATAAAAGACAATAAATAAAGAACTTAAGATTTTTAAACAGCTGCTCTATTGACACTGTTCATCTACTCTGCTCCTGTTCTTCCTTGTCCAGTCTGGTGCAAGAACCCTATCAACTGCAGCCTTTTTTTTTTTTTCCTTCTTTTTTCCCCACCCCCTTCTTCTCCCATCTTCTAAAACAGGCACTCAGTTTCTTAGTACAGCATGTTCTGTTTCCCCAAGGATACAATCCAGCCCTTCAGCTCTAATTTGAGGTTCCAAAAGGAGTGGGCAGGATGTATGTGAATTCACTAAACATATGCTCAAGGGTCATATTACCAGTGGACTGCTGGGACCTATGGACAGACTGTGTCAAAGCAACCTGGAGCTAGCCTGGTGTATTAGTGTGGTGTATGCAGACTTGGCAATGCCTTGGCTCTCTGCTACAGACCTCATTAAAAAATGGTGACCATAGACACAGGCTATTAAATGACCTCCAGGCAAATCTGGTAGGAAAGACACAGCTGTCTTCTAGGAGCATATTGCAGTTTTGCAGACAGCAGGAAAGCTCCAGACCACCAACAGCTAAAACAGGAAAAGCTTTAAACTCACATTAGCTTGTATGGCACAGACTGCTCTGCTGTATGGGTAAACAAACTCTTCAGCAAAAAATAGAGTTTAATGGGGGACAGAAGACAAAGTATCGTAAATCACTTCAGTAGATACATGTGGACATGTGGAGATAGGTGGTCAAATGCAGTGGAGAAGAATTTGGGAACCAATGAGGAGAAGAGGTAAGAGTCGTTCTCACACCATCATCTCTCAGCAGAGGTCTTGGAACAGAAAATTATCTCATTGAGAGTAAGGCATTGGCAGAGCCTCCCCTGGAATTGGCTTCTCTGTCCTTGCTTTCTGTGCAGCCTTAAGCAGCATCTTTTCTCCCAGCAGCTCCAACCCTAGCATCATGATCCTCATCAGTCCCTTCCAACATATTCTATTATTATCTATGTCCTATCTATTGCCTTCTGCTCTAAGATGCCATACAGTGGCTGGATAACCTTCACCCTTTCAGGTTGAACTCCATGACTCTCTTGAGAATGAATGCATTAATGTATTTGCAATACCCAAGTCTCTAAAACAAACTAATCAGCACCAATTATTAAGAAAAAAACAAACTACAAGCCCCCAGTAGATTGTGTTGAGCTTTCCTCAATTAGTTTCCACTGAAGTGGCTTATGTTTCATTACCCTTCCTCCAGCAGAAAAAGCCATCTCTTGGAAGTGAAAGTAATATTTTTTAAAAAAACAAAACTTTCTGAATAATATGTTCTTTTTAGTAAGAAAATATTCTTCCTGCTGCTAAGCTTGTCAGAATGTCACTTTTACATCTTACATAATTATTTCTTCTCTGAGTCTAGCAAAATGATAAGAAGGTTTAGATTTCCTACAGGCAAAATCTGTGATATTTACCTGAGGCATATTGGACTTTAAAGTGAGCAAAAAATACTGAGACACAGTCCCTGTTTGCCACCTCTGACAGGCAGGCAGGACAAGGTAAAGTGTCATTTCTTGACTCCAGAGATTGAAGACAGAGAATCTTCTTTTTATATTTTTACTATTGATCGAAATAATAATAAGTAAAATTTCAGAGTGCCTTACTGTTGTTATACTCTGCAGACTGCCTGCTTGCTCTAGGTAAAGATATGACATGTATTTCTTAAGAGAAACGTATTCTTATATGTAAATATAGATGTCAGTCAAGAATAAATTCTTCAGGATACATCCAAACAAGGAAGGAACGACTGCCTATGATAGAATACAACAGGACACTGATGATCCCAATTTATGTGGTCATGCAGAATAAAGATGCCTACATGTCTATAGCAACAATTTAATGAACATAGAAACTGTACAGTATTTTACTTCAAAAATTACTACTCTACTGAAATTTCTAGAAGAGCTCTGCATGTGCTAGATTTCAGTATTGATTGGTTGTTTTTAAAAATATTATATACCAAAATACCCCAGCAGTAGTAACACATAATCATGATTTATATCATTATTACTCAATAGTAATAAACCAAATAAATAAGTTCACTCTTGTTAATTTACTTAACAGCATTGTTTCACTACAAAGCAGCAAAAAAGATTAGACTATCACCTTGGTGTATCCTACTTTAGAATCTTCTTTGTCCAATTCATGTCATACGCAGTATAAAATAATTAAACCACTGACTTTAGATAAAGGACACAATCTCTAAAACAGTGGAGAGGGAAATCCAGGAACACATTCAGATCCAAGCATACCTGTGTGAAATGATCTGTCTGAAAGTAGGAAATGGAATGGACTATGTGGATAGCAATACTTTCCATGAAGACCAGAAAAACAAGAAACAAAGCAGTTGGACCAAGAATGTAGAAGAGTTAATATCTCTTACTCTTGCAGTCTCCCTCACTGCTGCTTTCACTCACAATTCTCCAACATGCTAGTCTGGACCAAGCCTTATCCCCAGCATGAGAAAAACCTCAGTAACTACCCAAAAGAAAGGTATGAATTCCAGTAAGCCGACTGTCTTCACAGTTTTTTGTTTATATTGTTCGTATGTGCACTTATATCATAGGATTGCATGAGATGTTGTAGAAATTTTTGTCTCAACAGAACTCATGCAGACAGGACTTCAAAACATTTCATCTCTTTAAAACACTGGCCTTGACAATGAAGCCCACACTCCTAAGGAACTTTGACAGAGAAAAGTTAATAGAATGATAAAAAAGACATCTTTCTCACTTAGCTTGACAACTGCCATTGAAAGGTTGTCCCACAAATCAGCTGAGTTTCTATAAGGAATCCTGGTGTTTGTAACCTGTCATGACCTCCTAAAACACACCGCTTTGTCCCAATATATGTCATTTATAAGAGGGTTTCTAAAGTAGTCTGAAGGGCTGATAAGCTTTGACAACTAAGTCTTTGAATTTGTGTTATAGAGGGAAATAAAAAAAAAATAAAAATCAGGAGGTAAGAGCTTGGCAAAAGAAAAATAGCATTGCAAGTCGTATCAGTGGCAACTCAGGAGTACCAGATGCTTCAATTTTTAACTACAGTATAAGTATGGTAACTTACTACATGTCATCACATTTAACATCCTTGGTTAAGGAAGAAGCCCATAGAGATCAGGTTGCTCTATCACAGTTGCAGTGACAAGAGATGAACAAACTGAGGAACTCAAAATCTATGATACTTTCCATCTCCTCCCTTGGAAGTGGCATACAAATGCCAGCACTGTTCATCTGAACTGAACAATTAAAAAAGCCTCACTGACTAGTAAGCAGTGGTAGCTGTCAATGGACACAGGAAAAAAAAAAAATAGGCTGCAATAAGGTCTTCATGTTTTATGTTCCTCTTAAACTTTTTTACCTGCCTTTCAGATAAGATGCATAAAGACTTCCTTCTTAGCAGATGCTATGGAAAAAGTCAATTCCAGTACTGCTTAAGAGAGGCAACCTATCCATAGCATAAATGCTAAAAAGATTAAAAAGATTTCTCATTGGTTGACCTTGGCCTTACAGCCTTGAGAGAATCAAATGATCTGGGATCTCAAAAAAGGCTCAGGCAGAACATAATCACCAGCATCAGAAAAATATATGTACCAGAAAATGATGAATTGCAAAGACTTTTCATAAACACTGTAACTTCCAATTTCAGAAATTTTATAAATATATTTCAATACAAACTCAAATATAAATACACATTCATCAGAAAATGTGCTAAAAATAATTTCCATTTCAATTCAGAATGCTTTTCAAAATAAACCCCAAAATATTTCTATATCATGAAAGGAAATTCCTTACCGAAACAGCAGTTATCTTCAAAGAATCTATTGTAGAATGTGTGAAAAGGTACCACAAGACAGGTCCAATTTCTGCTGTAATAAATCCTTTTGCATGGTGAGAGAGAGTAGTACAAACATTTTCAATTATCTTTGCTGCCAAATGGTTCACTACCTTGTCTTCCTATAGGAAGGAGAGGAAAGGAAAACTCATAAGCAAATATTTCTAATGTTCCTGATTTCTTTTTAAACTACTGCCTATGTCCATGTTATTCCATGAATACTGTCATAATGTGGTTTCTTAATTTTATTTGAAGCTTGCCAAAGTAATTTATAGGAAATCTGAACTTGTGACAAACGTAGAGCTACAGATTCTACTTCCCCCCCACTTCCTCTTCTACTGTAAAGACAATTTAATGCAATTACAATTTAATATAAAATCTTTCTGCTCCAAATTATCCACCCAAACTAAACTGAGTCACTAAAAATAACAAGGTTTTCTTATGTTAGAGGTGTTCCATGATCGGTGCTTTATGAATGAATATCTGTATATCAAGCTCATTACTACAACAGGCTCTGATTAGCAAGACTATGAGACAGAGTTACATTCAGAAAAGTGATATTGCATTAAACCCTCTTTATTTGGAAGAACCAACAACTGCCAAGGATAAAGAAAAAGCCTTCTTGCAAGTAATGTTATTCTAAAACTCCCTTATCTTCCTCTTCTGAAACAGACAATACTGACTAATGTTTAAGATAAGCCAATGGTCCCGTTTACTGCACCAATTCCTAAATTTCTGTAAGGGATTCTGTATCCTTCACATATTTAATACTAATCAAATCATTTTATCTGCAAAATCATTTGTAGAAAGCCACTGTACATGTAACTTTAATATCTACATAATGCTACTCATACTGTAACATCTCCATGGAATGAAAAACCATCATGCCAGAATAATCACAAGCTATCAGCACATCAAGAACATCACATGGGAGCAGCTCTTCCTTGAGAAAACTTACTGACTGCAACGGAAGCTTAATTTACACAAATCACTTAAAAACAGTCTCTATTTTCTCTCTTTTCCCTCTCATGCCCTTTCTTTGGTATCTTTTTGTTAAATTGGGTTTTTTTGTTCACTCTTCCTTCACTTAAAACTGGAGTCTTTACCTTATCAGAACTGGGAGATTCATAGCTGGTGGTTTTTTTGGCTGTGCATTGATTGTCTCACCTTATTTCAAATCTTTAACTTTACAGTAAGTAAAGTCTTTCAACAGTGTCTTAGATGACATTCTTGAGCTCATAGCCTGGCTTTACAAATAATTCATCACAATTCCTAATTGATTTTTTCCTTAAACTAATCTCCACATTATCATACTAACCTTTGGATTTCTGACATTTATCTTCACAATTGGAACTATCAACAACTATTGGAGCAGTGATAACAAAACCTTTCAGAAAGCAGTATAAAAGCCTTCCAGAAGGAGAGAATTTACACTTCATTAAAAATATATTCAATATCTGCTCTTCCTTCTACTGACTTGGGTATTCTAAAATATACACACTGATGTAGAAATATTTGGAAACTCTAGTATAATACTGTTAAAAACCAGCTGTATTCATCATTTTCATGATAATCCTTCCTATTCTTCTGAAGAACTGCAGCTCCACTCAAAATACTTCAAAGAAATACCCAAGTAAATTCCCATCTAAACCAGCTACACTCTTTTTTTTCTCTTTCAAAAAACTCTACTGATTTCTGCGGTCTTCCTTCTGATTTACAGCCATGAAACCAAGGAGGATTTAGACTTCCCTGTTTTTACAGCTATTATTACTGCAATATATTGTATCATTTTGATGCATTGAAGACCTATATACACAAATACATATATATACTTACCAAACTCAGTTTCTCAAAAAATCTTCTCTTAATTATACTTCTGAATTTCAGTCTTTTTGCTTTTTTTTTTTTTTTTTTTTTGGCTATCGTAACTTTAAATCCACAATTGAAGTGTTAATAGCCAAGTTAAATCTTTCATATATGAATTAAGAATGCCAAATGGAACTCTACTGCTACTTTAAGCAGGCAGAAACTAGTAAGTGCACTGTAAACCCATTAACAAATCATAATCAAGGCATTATACAACAGATAACAGTTATTACAAATGTTAACAAATTTCCAGATGCACTGAAAGCTTTTCTTCATAACCTTTGGCCATGAAGATGTGCTTTATTTCCTTTCAGTCATCACTGAGAGGTGTTATACGTTGTGCCAGATAGTCTTGCTGCTTTGGTTAGAAAAAGGAGTAATTTCATTTGCTGTCATTTGAGATTGCCCATCTTTGCTCCTCTGGGATCTATTCCTGAGCAGTGTCTAAGCAACCAGACTTGTAACATTTTCTGCTTAATTAGCTCTCTAGAAGGGAATCATGACCTAAACTAATATTTGTCCTCTTAACTGAAGGAGTCATCCTGTCATGCTACAAGTACATAACATATGTTAGTGAACAGATACAGATCTTCAAGATATGAGTGAAGCAGTATGATATAAACTCTATCTATATCATGAACTGCATCAAATCTTAATCTATGAATAGAACTGCATCAAAAAGAAGCATATACTGTGCTTTCACTGTGTTTAGATTTCGACTAGTTTTATAAAATGCACTTAAAGATAAAGCTCCTGATTTTCAGCCATATTGAACACTTGCAGGTGTATCTGTTTCCGAAGTCATAGATGTTTAGAGCTAAGGACAAGAAAGCAAATACCAAAAGAGTAAATAAAACTTTTATTCAGGTCTTTCTGTTCCAGTTGGGAGGGAGGTGAACAAATGAAAGTCACCAAGGAAGCTATCTTCATTTTTTTTACATAACTGAACTTACTGGATATTTTTGTTGATTGTTAAACACTTAACATTGCACTAGTAGTTTGGGAGGCACTGAATATACAATAATTACACTAACCAACATAATACCTAAAAATATAACTTTATATAAAGTTTAAGTAAAATGTTTAAGAATCCCTAACTCTGACCCTGGAAAAAAATACAGATTCTCCTGGAAGCTATTTGTACGTACATAGAGGGCAAACATTAGCAAGAGCAAAACCTACTGACCAAAAGGACAAGCTTCAATTATGGGTGGACTAACAGAGAGCCGTGGTTTTAATTTACTTCAGCTTTAACAAGGTTCTCCACTTCCTATCTAGCCAAATAGCAAAGACTGGGACTTAAGCATACTACCAAGTACATAGAAAGCTAGTTGGACCACCAGATTCAAAGGATTGTGATCAGCAGGGCAAAGATATCTGTGGCAGCTGGAGCTATCAAAGGACAATATTTGGGCCAATATTGTTTATTGTGTTCTTTAATACAACATAGCAGTTCTGTACATTAGGGATTTTTCTTCTAGTTATCATCTTGGTAGCACTCTGCTGGACCCACTCCTGAATGTCAATGTCTTTCTTTTACTAGGAAGTCCAAAACAGAACATAGCACTCCAGCTGTGGTCTCATTAAAGGTCGCTTGGATGTGGTGTCGGTGGATATGTTTGAGGGGAGAACTCTGTAGAATAGGGATGATGGTAGTCTTTTCCAACCTGAATAGTTCTATGATTCTACGATTAGTGCTGAATAGAGGGGAAGAATCACTTCCTTGAACCTGCTGGCTACTCTTTTGCTCATACTGCCTGTGTTGCCATAGCCTGCCTTCGCTGCTAAGGCATACTGCTGACTCATGTTCAATTTTCTGTTAGCACCCCCAAGACCCTTTCTGCAGAACTGCTTCCTAGGGAGCTTGTACTGCTACAATGGGTTATTCCGTCTCAGAAGCAAGCCTTTGCTCTCACTTTTGTTGAGCTCAATGATGTTCCCATCAGCCTGTTTCTCCAGCCTGTCCTAGTCCTTCTGACTAGTAGCCCTGACATCAAGTGTATTGATGCTGCAGCCGCCACCAATTTGGTGTTATCCATTTGGTCACTCTGGTCATTACTGAAGGCACTAAACAGTATTGAACTTAGAGGGACACTGATAGTTACTGCCTGCCAGTTGGACATTACATCATTGATCACTTGAGTGAATTTTCCTGCACATCTTATCTTCCATTTGTTCAGTCTGTACCTCACCAATGTGGTGATAAAGCAAATATGTCAGAGGGTGTCAAAGGCCTCCATAAAGTCAAGGCATACAACATACACTGCATTCCCCCTTGTTCACAGTGCCACTCATGTCCACATCATATAAAGCAATCAGGCTTGTCAGAGGGCTGGAGCGCATCACATACAAGGAAAAGTTGAGAGAACTGTTCAGCCTTGAGAAAGGAAGGCTTAGAGAAGATCTTATTGCTGTCTACAACTACGTGATCAAAGGCTAAAGAGAAGATGGAGACAGATGTTGTCAGAGGTACACAGCCATAGGACAAGAGACAATGGCCACAAGTTGCAACATGGCAAACTTCAGTCATATACAAGGAAAAAGTTTTCTAGTATGTGGAATCACCATAAGAGATTTCGAGTCAAACAGATATTCCTGAGCAATCTGATCTCTTCCGACCTGCTCTGAGCAGTAGGTTGGATTAGATGACCTCAGGAGGCCCATGTCATTCTAAAATATTCTACAGTTTTGCAGCAACAAGTAAGTTTGTTTGGTTTTTTAAAGACAAAAATCTCGAAGATGTAGTTGTGTTTCAAGTCAGTGATGACACCATACAGATGTTTTTGTAAAAAATTACTAACTTTTTGTGTAACTTTTGCTGCTAAAGACTGTGAGATCCACTTTTTCACTAAATAATGTGACAGAATGAAGTGACTGGTATACTATCATCTGGATGCAACTACTGCAGTAGCCCTGCTCTTATATGTTTTGTAAGAGCTTATTGGAAATGCATTTCTATTTTATGCTATTTTTTTCATGAAAAAAATATATGAAGATAAGCTATTAAGAAAAATTGTATATGTTTCAGAACTAAGAATTTATTTTATTCTATATGAATAAGTTAGGGTCTTATGGACGTCTCTACACGGAATACCCAGAAATAGCAAGTCTGCCATTACTAAATTTAGAATTAAACAGCTTCTCACTAATGTGCCTTAGAATGACATCTTACTCGAGTTATGAGATGGAAATAGTCCACAACAGAAACACAGTTCTGTGTTCTTGATCACATCCAGGTTTGAAGATGTTAAAATGCATCTAGATTCTTTCTCTATTAATCACAGTCTGTAGACAACAAAGATCTAAATAATAATAATTTTTTAAATGTATAAAAAAAAGAAGAAAAAGAAGAAAAGGTACTTCTCTTGCTTTTTGCCCTCCAGCAACCTCCCACTTGTTTTCTGCCTTGAGTTTTGCCTTGGGCAAAGAAAAAGCCAAGTGGTCTAATAAAAACAGTAAATGCCAAACCTCTACTCAAATCTTTTTCAGTTTACAAATTGGAACTATATGCATGCTTTTCTTCTGTTCTTCAAACACAGCTAGGTCATCACCAAGAAAAGTGAAAAACACAGCATAGCACATGTACAAGACAAAAAAAATAATTATGACTTTTTGGCCACAAAAAAATGCTAACAACCCCGTACAGGAACAACGCAGTTTTCAAAACCTGTATCAGCCACTTCAGACTGCACAGTAAAAACTGTGCAGAACATCTCTAAAGAAAGCCACAGCATTAATAAATTCCATATTTATTAACAGTACTATCCCATTCATAAAAAATCAAGCAGCAATACATAAATGTTGAATGTACGGAGAACAACACTGCATTTTTAAATTAACCTTCTGCTTAGGTCATGGTCTTAATCACAATTACTTAAATTCAAGAGCAATATTTGGTCGACAAGGCATTGCAGTGCTGCAGGCTACAAACTTCACACAATGCCTAAAGGGTTATTACAGTGGAGAAATTCCATTGAGGACAATGAAAGAGCCTTACCCCTTCCCGAAGACACCTCATTAGCACAGTGTAAGTAGCTAAGGGAACAACCCAACATTCTCTGGGGTGCTCCACTTTTTCCTCCTGAAATTAAGCCAACAGCACAAATTATTGAATAAGAAAAAAATAATCACAATAACCTCACATAAAAAATGAAGAACAGATTCTTATTAAGGTTCTTACTATACACATTTCAAATTAGCATATGGTTAAAAAATTCCAGAGAAGTATTACTATTTAATCTTATTCCATGTGCAATACAGAAACGGATGTTTTATTAGCTTATTTAAATAGACTGCAAAATCCATAACAGGATTTGCCCTAATATTTCTGGGTTTCATAGCTTCCTTCTTATTCACACACACAAAAAAATATTCTTGCATTCCTGTCAATCATTTTGATTATTAGAGAAAAAGACAACTGATTATTAAAAATAGTAATGCTTCTCTTTCAATGTGATTTAATTATACCAAACAAAAGTACTTTTATCTGGCAACTTAAAAAAACCACCAAACTTTATTTTGGAAAAAAAGTATTCAAACTCACACAGAGACATACAAAGTGTTTAATAAAACTTACTGTATGGAATAGGCTTTAATACCTATCAATACTCTTCGAGATCTTTGTGCATATTTCCTTGAAATCACCCTGTTGCAAAGGCTAATTCACTGCTAGTTGAATTAGGGGTTTGATTCTTCTATTAGAGATTAATGGACTCCACTCCCACCCACCCCCCAGTAGCCTACTGTAAAATTTCAAGTTTAAAAGAGGACACTTGGATATCATTAAGATTTAACTTGTCTACTCTAGTAACACGGAGACACTAACAAGTGAAAAAAAAATTGACTCTTCTGGGAAAGAAAGTTAGAAATAATAGGCATTGCATGATACGAAGATGACAAGCCATGGTCTGGCTTGTCTTAATAAGTAGAGAAAAGATGACAAGCAACCATTCCTTCAGAAATTATACATTTCTTGAACTCTATCGACTATGGTGGTAAATTATGTTTAGCTTTCTAATTAACTGGTTAAATAAAAAGCATAGGATAGGCAAGGTTGGGGTTAATGATGCAGAAACACATCATACTTTCTGAATCTCCTAATACATTAATTCAGCATACATGACAAAATAATGTCAGGCATTTAATTACAGCATGGCACACTAGCAGCACACACTATTACTGAATTGCCTTTTAAATTTAATTTTCATTCTTTATTAAAAATAAATAAAAACTTTATTTGCAACATGCATCAACAGAGAAAATTAGTATGTTAAATATCCCATTATTTTAATTTTTATTTCTTCCAACTTTCTATTATGAGGTAAAGAACAATTTTTCTTGGAAGTAATATACAGACAATAATAATCAAAGTGTTTAGCCATCTGACAGACATCAGATCCACTACATTCCTTCATCTAATCTGAGTAACAACACGTTGACATTTAATCACAGTTCACTTTCCAAGACTTAGTGTATAAGTTTAAGAAAATGCAGCCCAAGTTTCAAAGAAGGATGGTAGATTACTTTCTAACAGGCAACAGTAGAATCTTTTTCCCCTGGAGAAAGCAGGACAAGACTAGGTGTCAAGACTGATTTAAAATGACAGCCTATGCTGGAACTGGCATGGGTCTGTTTCTCATTTTACTAATCTAATTTAATAAAAAATTTTGTCAAGTTTTTCCATAACCATATATATTATATGTACTATAAAATACAAAGTCATAAGAAAGGGTGCAGTCCTGAAATATTAATAATTCTTCCATTCCTCAGACTAATTAATGACTTTCTGCAAGGTTTGGTCTCTAGTTAGACACTTTTAAAAGGCAGAAGGTGTATAAAACTTGGCACCATTCTTAATTAATGTACTTAAACATACCTACACAATTTAACATTTACTAAATTTAAATATATCACCAAACACTGGGGGATCTTCCTATTTTTTGCTCACAGCCCACATTGATTTTGATTAAACTTTAGGTTCTGCACCCTAATAACACAAACAGCAGGAAATGAATTAAAATATTACATAGAACTTGAAAGTTTTTCCTCAAAGCAATTCACTTAAGAACATCTTCCCCGGGATCTGCTCATGCTACTTGTGCATTGCTTTTGGCTTCTGTTCAGAAAAAAAACCGGCAGAGATGAAGCATAAGATCTATTTATGAGATCTCATATGCAAATACACAGATAATATCAGAGCTTAGGATTGCAGAGAACCTTTATAATTATCTGGATTTTCCCCCGTATCTTCTAAGCCACAGAAGTGCAACCAGCGATCCTGTATTTAATCTAATGAATCATGCTACACCTAGATAGCTGAACATGATTTTAAGTGTTTTATACTCTATGATTTACCAAATGTTCATATGAAACAAAAATAATCTTTAGCACTATTTAATATAAATATTGTAGTTGGACCTAGAAACACTTAGCAAAACCCCAAAGGGAATGAATAAATAAATTCAGCCCCGTTTCTAAAAAATTACAGCTTATATTATAAATATTTAGCAGCTTGATAAAACAACCAAGCAGGTTGAACAGCAAAACGGAAGAAAACATGGAAAAAAGAAAATAAATACATTTTGTGCATAATTCTTAACAAGTCAAATGCAGTTATGATTTTTGTCTTAAATTAGTCAAGGCATAAAGCTGTACTGTTTAAAGATATAAACAGGGAATAAATATTTTTATTTCAACTTATTAAATAAGATTAACTTAGTGTGTGATCTTCACAAGGACATTCAATACTACTGTTCAGCATTTTCATGAGCAACAGAATGTCTACAACACTTCAGTATTCTGAGGTCGAGTAATTACAGTCTAGAGAAATTAAAATCTTTAGAAAGGGCTTTTCTTAAAAAAAATATTAAAATAAACAGTCTAAGCAATGCAACCCATTCCTATAGACCTTCCTGAAACATGCTAGAGTTGTCATTTAAATACAAGTTATCCTGCTTCAAACACTCAAGTTCATAAATACATATAAACTCGGAAGTTTGTCAGTTCACATTTTCAGAAGAAAAAAATATTTATTAGGGTCAGTGCATGTAAATAATGTTGCTGTTACAGAGCCATGTAAACAGTTTTGTTTCAATCACTTAAGTTTCATTTCATAATAAAAGTAAGCACTGCAAAATAATGTCACCAAATGTTTAAGTTGGAGTTTTAAGATTATTTGGTTTTACTGGTGGTTCAAAATTACACAGTTTTCAATCTGCCTGATGATGCTAGGTGCAAAACATTCCCCCCAGCGAAAATTGGGAAAGTATTAAAACAGAAATGTGACTGTTGATGTATTTTCCATAATATGATTTCTCAATGTTAGAACAAGTTCTGTGACTCTGTGTGTTTGATAGATATTTTGGCAATTTCCTAACCAGACTAAGATGATGCTTGCTATTCTACAAAAAAACAGGCAACCATTTAATCTTGTGGAACATGCAAAGGAGCTACGGGATAAGGACAATAATCATGGGAGCTCAGCACAAAGCCATAACCTCAGTAAATAAAAACAGAGATCTATTTGGTATTTTAACTCCTTTTTCAAATGACCTTGTAGACTGGTAACTAACATGATAGCATTCAGAGCAATGAGACGATGCAGTTAATAAAAAGACTTCAGAAAAGCTAGGGCTAGGCTTCTGTTTGAAGTCCCCTTTGTTTCTAGTAAGTAACATGAAGAATTTTACTCTTTGAAAAGAGGAAAATAAGGCAAGGGTTTAGAGGAGCTGTCATCTTCAATTCCTACTGTTAATAGCATTTATTTTCTATAAATAACCTATGCTTATTTTTAATGTGAAACTACTATTTCTAAAATGAAGGGTTAAATCAGTTCCAGTCAGCAATCACTGTAATTCCGTTCGAAATTAGTCAGGATACTTCTATTTCATTTTCCACAGCATGTGAATCCAACCGTGCTAGGATATGATCTAAAATGGACTAGATACATTATCAATATGACAGGCTATATTCATATATCCTATTCAATCAGTCTCTAGCTAAGAAGTTCTAACACTTACATCTGCCACTTGGAGGCCAGCAGTCATTATGGTGACTGATGAAATTATTTATGAAGTTAAAACTCTGTATTTGAAGCACATGATTGGACTAACATGTTTCTTACGTAGAGAAAGTATCCAAGAACATACAAGGACAAGAAACTGCTAGGCATACAAATTAAAAAGTAACTTTATTTTTTGGTCTTCTTTTCAGTGGGAAACTTTTTTTCACATTTGTTAACTTTGTAAGGATCACTAGACAGTCTTACCTTGCTGGCTATGAGATAAAGAAGTTCTCCAAGTGCTGGTAAAAGGCATTGCTTCAATTTGGTATTTCTGAAGTTCTCTCTGATGAGTTCAGTTAAAAGTATAATTGCCTAATATAAAAAAAAATACATCATAGAACAATATGCATAACCTTTTCTCAAGCAAAATGTACTGCTAAAGGTAACAGGCTTTATCTGAAATGCTATCATTCTGTTAAACTCTTTCCTTATGCTAAATAACCCTTTGCAAAGGATATAACATGCATGGAAAAAATAATTACTTAACAGTTTATATATGCAATTTGGAGAAAAGTGAAATAAGGAAATAGCCCAAGTGACAAACTGTCACCATCCTTTCTTCCTTTTCCTTAAGGACAATAGAGGTCCAGGGGGGTGGGAAGTCTATTTGCCATTTGCATGTTTCTATCAGATGATTTAACATCTCTTCTCACCATCAGTTATAAAAATACTAACAAAAAAAACCCCCTCTGTCATTTGTGTAGATATATTGTAGATATATTGTGCTGTTTAACATCTTTGTTGGAGACATGGACAGTGGGATTCAGTGTATCCTCAGCAAGTTTCCTGATCATACCAAGCTGTGTGGTATGGTTGACACCCTAGAGGGAAGGGATGCCATCCAGAGGGACCTTGACAGGCTGAAGAGGTAGGCCAATGCCAACCTCATTCACAAAATGCATACATACACACACACACACACACACACACACATATACATATACAAAGAGTATTTATAAGGAGGAGGTGGAAGGAAATCGAAAATTCTGATTCATCTTGTGCAGGTGACCTAGTAAGAAACCACTTTCCCATACACATCTGGATCTGACTTCAATCTAACTTTAAGAAATCAAGGATCATTTAGCTACCACATGTTAAATTTAAAATATGCTATCTGCTGGCTGGAGTGTGCTCCCCAGAATCCCAGTGGGCTCCAATATGTAGCAAGCAACGTATCAAGGATATAGCGGTAGAGAAGCCAATTGTTTCTTTAAGAAAGAGAGATCCACGAGCACCCCTTGCTACAAAATATTAATGTCTTGCAAGAGTAGGAGGAGAAGACAGCTCAGCAAATATGGATTTAATGTATTACCTATGTCACTTAAGTAGGTATTTGTTTTTTAGTATTGGGAAGGATTCTTATGTATTTTAAGCACTTAGAAGATACAGCAAATACACAGATACTTTTGGTGAAGTCAGTGATTTCCAAAAGTTTACATGATACACTAAGTGAAGTTATTTTTATGTGCTTTGTAGTTTAAATAAACAGTAATGTTGCACATACTACTTTATTTTAAACCTTGGAAACAGTAAACTTAATTATTACTTTAGATTTGTATAAAAACTCTGTGACAGCTCTATCCCAAAGTCATTGGGTCATTAATAATGCTACAAATACCTGATAAGAAGCATAAATGTTTATACAACAATCATCATCTAACTAATCAAATCATAATGAAAAATGTACGGGATTGCTGTAATAGACTCAGTTTACCTTAGAAAACTGTGAGCCAAAGCCACTTCAGTACATACTTCCAAAGGGGAGAACAAAACAATCTACAGTTCTTCTTCTGAAAAGGATTTGATTTGACATGACTTTGAAAAGATCTAACACAGAAGTTTTTCTGAGTTACAAAGACACACATTCTTTACTTTGGGTAGCACAGAAATAAAATAATTAAAAAACAAAACAAGCAAAACCCATCAACACCAAGAAAACCACCAATACCAAAGAAACCACAAGAACAACATTGTGGTTTTCTAACAAACCATGAGAACTGTTTGGCCAAAGGCAAATATTATCTGAAACAGTCCTTGCTCTCTACTTTTAAAACACACTCTCACTACCTCAGAAGGCCTAGCCAAACACAGCCCCATCTAGTCATTGAGCAAGAAGCTAAAAAGAAAATGTTATTCTGAGGTTTTTTTCAGAAAGCTAAGCAAAATGGAAATTTTGAACATGTATCCCATTCTGTATAAAGCAAGGCAGATAAATGTCAAAAACCATACACTGGCTGCTGATTGCTGCAAAGCAGAGAGCAAATTTGCCATTATGCATACACCCCAACAAGAAACTGTGATATACTATTAAATCCTTGATCAACTACAGGTATACTATCTATCCACCAATGAAAAAAAGTAAAAACATAAATGATATTTTTTCCACAAAGAACAAACACATAGCAAAATAGTATAGCTTAGTATTTTAACTGAGATGCTAGGCAGGAGACAAAAATACTGTTATTTTCTGGGAGAGGACTAGTAAAATGTGTATAATTATGAGAAATCACAAGATAAATTCATTATGATACCTGACTTACAGTTCAGAATATCTGAATATCTTGATATAAACTGCCTCAATGCTTATCAGCATCTTACAAGTCTCTGCAAGACATCATCTTCTAGAGATCTTTACTGAAAAGCTACTCACAGACGTTGCTGGATTCTGAACTGCTTTTAATTACAAGGTTTAAACTTCTTATAATGGCAAAATCATAGATGCATATATTCTATGGCTCAGTGAACAAATATTCTATTCCTAGACACTTCACTAATAGTAAACGCAATTTATTTTTGCAAGTCATAATATTTTTTGCACATAAAGGCTAGATTCCAGTCTCCAACTGTCATTTGCATCTATATAGAAAGGCAAAATATTGACACAAAGTCCTCAAAAACTCAAAGAAAATAATCTGTGAAAATCTGTCTCATTTTAGCAGACTTTGCATGAAAATATTCTGTGAAAATCCTGTCACATACATTCACATAAGTGTATAGGAAATTCAAAGACGACTCAGGTAGTAAAAAAAAAGTTAAAAAAAAAACAAAACAGGAGCTTGGAAAGTTTAACAGTCCTCCCAGGAAACAAACATTCCAGTCCTAAAAGTTAGAAAGTGTACTCTTTGTTAGTTTTGGGGTTTGTTTTTTTTTAAATAGTTTGCAACTGTATTTGGCAGGAGAGCAGTTTTTCTTCCTCAGAGAACTAAGGAGTTTTTATCCTCAACTTTCCTTGATTTTTCTTCACCTCCTGACCTTAACAGCTTCATAACATAACTCCAGTCTTTGCACAAAGAAATAATATAAAAACTGGAAATGCATTCTTCAAATCAAAGCAAAAAGTTCTCAACAATCTTTGACCTTCCCTTCCTTTTTATGTAATTCTACGTTCATTACCTGTTTTCTTTAATAGCTTCCAGAACATTTCTTCAGATGCTAGTGAGGAACTTTAAATAGCCTACCATTCCAGAGAGAGTTTTACTTTCATATTTAAGTGAAGAAATGCAAGGTTTAAAGCTTCTAACATATCAGCTTGAGAAAGCAGAAGTCAAGCTGGTTCAAGTGGAATTCTGTACTAAATGATAAACACATAATGGCAGCATTTCTCCTTTATTAGATTTGCTTTCTTTAGCCATAGTCTTGCTTTTGTGATGAGATACATATTTTGAGTACTCCTGTCACTGTGGAATCAATACCACTAAAAGTACCACAGCACTGTGGCATTAAAATACATTATCTACACTCAGTCAACACCTCTCCACTTTTCTTCTTTAGACTGAGGGTGAACACACCATGAAATACCATTTTGACTGCACAAAATTGATGAGTCACATGGTAACACAAGACAATGTACCCAGCAGACTAGCTAGGGCCATTATACCCTCCTAATACCTAAGATTGCTTGTTTGTGTGCAGGCAGGACTTGATGAAGAAAATACAACATAAACTGTACATCTGCTATATGTCTTGCTTTTCATCAAGGCAGACTGTTTAAAATTATCATTGCTATTGATGTATCTCAACCAGCAGAAAAACTTGATTTAGTATCAACACTAATCTTGTTTTTCACCTGTAATATTTATGTTCCCAAAGCATGGTTAGTGTTTCACCAAAATTTAGCAATTTGCTATCTAAATACATTCATGTATGTAGTCATAAAATTCTCAGAATCCTCTGTTCTATTACATAACATTGTGAAAGAAATGTTGCATTTAGTAAATTCTTCCTTTGCTCACTTGTAGTAAGATCTGTCTACCTGTCTTACTACTCATTTGACGTTTTTAAAAGCTACCATTAACTTTAGATATACTGGGTAGATTATCCAGGCTCTGTGGGGTTTTTTGGTTGCTCATTGAATTTAAGATTTGAAATTAATGAAAATTAAATCAAAGAACAATATTTTATATAGGTGAACAAAAATTACTGTTTCTCACCCTCCTTCAAGACTTTAGAACCAGCAGAACTAGTTATTCTTTTTATGCAGAAGTGATAAGAAAAGAATATTTTCCTGATACTCCAATTCCTACTCTTTTCTTACATTTAAATGAAAAAATGTTAAAACTGAGTTCACAAAACTAAAATTATTTACTTTTCACTAACAAAATCTGCCAAAACGTTAGTTAATACTGCAATAAATTCAAGTTCATTTCCATGAACTTATATACTGATAATCTTTGTATTTAATGTTAAATTACTCCATTAATAGTTAATGTTAATATTAACTCTATGTCTACCAAACAGGTAGACAATGGTGCTTTGGGAGATGGTTTACTGGTCCCCAGGGTGTAGGGCTGATGGTTGGACTTGAAGATCTTGAAGGTCTTTTACAACCTTAATGAGTCTATGATTCTGTGATTCTGTTATATGATTCATAACAAGAAAAGAACAACTAAATTACCAGAATCCAAAGACTAATAGAACTGTATAGGGTACTATGGCAAAATACACTGAAGGTTAAATAATTATAGACAATACTCACTATTCTTAAGTGACAACAAACACAAGTCTATATTTACCATAGTAAGATAACGTCCCCTTTTTCTTTAGAGAGCATACCACCTAAAATTTTCCCTATGAGTTCCCTTTGTTCACTGAACACATTTAAGTAACTAAATATTATACAAGTTCATGAAAAAGGAATTCACAGAATATCTCACATACTGAACAGGAAAAGTGTCTGTGTCATTAATCAAACTTAAGATCTTCATATGTTCTCTGCGACAGAAGCTATGAGACATGAAGTTGTGATTCATCATCTTTACTATAAGCACAATTATATATATCTATGCCTATTATTATAAATTACATTCAGTGTT